ACAATCTCTCTCTCCCTCAAAATCAATTTTTAAAATAAAAAGGAAGCTGCCCTAGCCAGTGTGGCTCAATGGATAGAGCATCAGCCCACAGATTGAAGGGTTCTGGGTTCAATTCCCGTCAATGGCGCATTCCTCAGTTGCAGGCTCTATCCTCAGCCCCAGGAGGATCCTGGTGGTATGTGCAGGAGGTAACCAATCAGTGTGTCTCTCTCATATGGATGTTTCTCTCTGTCTCTTCCCGCTCCCTTCCACTCTCTCTAAAAATCAATAAAAAAATATCCTCTGGTGAGGGTTAAAAAAAGGACAGGAAGCTGGGGCAGCGCTGTTAGGATCACAGGTAGAGAACTGAGGCTCACGGAGAGGGAAATCAGGACTAGGATCTGTCCCGGGCTACTGCTGCACTACAACTTGTTATGTGCTCTAGCTGGTGGGTTAGGGGGCCCGGGGAAGGAGGAAGAGGGGTGTGGCATAGCTGACTAGGAAGCCGGGTACCCAGAGGCTGTTGTAGCCAATGGCACCACCTACTGGTTTAAAAGGTCATAGAACAGGAAGCTGGGGACCAAAGTCTGCTGGGTGCCCGGCCCTACTCATCCTCCCTCCTGAGCTGACAGGAAGATAAGGAGGATCCTGGTGGGGACTCCACACCCTGCAGGTTGGGGCCTTATCCCAAGGAAAGTGGGTGTCGGGAGCAGGGTTGTGGGGCTAGGGCCTGAGAGGTCACAGCGGACTACCCTGACATTGCCCTCTGACCAGGTGGCCTGCCTCCAGCCCTCTCAGCTAAGGCAGAAGGGCTGCTAGGGTTAGGTTGGGGTGGATAGGATTGCCCTCCTCCCCAACCCCTAATAAGGGAGGCCTGTGTGTAAAATAGGAGCATCCAGATAGTTTGGGGTTGGGGTTCTGGCCCTTACAAGCCAGGAGAAATCCTGAAGGGACAAAAAGCTCAGGGTAAAGGTGGAAGAAGAAACTGGAAGGTCCCTCAGAGGGCTAGTCTGGCCCATCCTGATCTCCCTGGTCATACACTATAGGGCAGTGATCGGCAAACTGCGGCTCTTGAGCCACATGCGGCTCTTTGGCCCCTTGAGTGTGGCTCTTCCACAAAATACCACGGCCTGGGCGAGTCTATTTTGAAGAAGTGGCATTAGAAGTCTAAGTTGTTTAAAAAATTTGGCTCTCAAAAGAAATTTCAATCATTGTACTGTTGATATTTGAATCTGTTGACTAATGAGTTTGCCGACCACTGTTCTAGGTCCCTTGCTCTCAGCCTAAGGATGCGACAGGAAAAGTTGGGGCCGGGGTGAAGTGATGCTCTTCCGATGCCTGTCCTCCAGAGTGCAGCAGCCATGGCCCTCTCCCATCCCATCCCATCCCCCTGTACTGCAAGCCCAGCCATCCAGGGCCCGAGCTGCTCCTTCTGCTCCTGCAAGCCAAGTACCTGTAGCGCTACCTGGCCGGTGGCTTTGACATGCTGGCATGGAGAGCTGGCATGGAGAGCTGGCATGGAGAACGAGCTGAGCCACTTGCCGGGGACAGGCCGCTGGGTGCTGGAGTTGCTGTAGTCGAAGGCGCTGCTAGCTGCCTGCTGGTGCCGCATGCCTCTCCCTGGGTGGCAACACTTTTGTGTAGATGTCACTGCTCACGAGCCAGAAGCTGGGCATGGCCTGGCACCTATAGAGCCACATCTTCAGCATCCTGGTGATGGGCAATGTGGACGGCTCAGTGCTGGGTGAGGGTGACAGGGGTGAGAGCAAGAGGGCACCTGGGCCACACAAGCCAGGCTGAACTCCAGACGGACACATTCTGCTCACCATGCAGTCTGGGACCTGCATCTGTCCTAAATGTGGCTCCGGACTGCCTCTGATGTGGCCTTCTTACCCTTGGTCCCACCCAGGCCTCCCCCACCACAGCTGAATGGACAGCCCAGAATGAGAGTGTTGTCTGGGTCCAGCTTGGGACGCATTCATCTCCAGCAGCCATTCTCTGGAGAAGGGGAGCCAAGCAGGACGCGATGAGACCGAGCACCTGTGACCTTCCATGCATTCTCTCCCATAATCCCCACAGTGAGCGCCGAGGGAGGCTATGTCATCTGAAATTCATCTCTTAGGGCACATGCCTTGGAAAGAGTCTCGTGTAGCTGGATGTTCAGATGGCATCTAAAAGAGATACTCAAACTTTGGTATGTATCACAGTCACCTGAGGCTCAGGGACAATTCCGAGACCCAGACCCCATCCTGCCCCAGGGAGCCTGGGCCCCTGGGTTTGTTTGGGCTCTCCACGGGAGTCCGACACACCGAAGTTAGAGGATCACTACGTTTAAACTTCCTCTGGAAGGGCCAAATGAATGCTAACATACCTCAAGTTACTTACTGGACGGCTATCGTTGCAAGGCAAACCATTCCATTGGTTGGCTCTCATTGGCCAACTAGGTCTAGTTTAAAAGGAAATTTTTCCCTTTGAATCACTCACATCCTTGATGCAGAGTGGCATGGCATTTCTCTAAGAACCCTTCGATCTTTTCCATCTCAGCTGTTGGCCAAGCTGCTCCCTGCATGGTTTGGGTAACCAGTGTGCAAGACAAACCATGAAACAAGGCATCATTTTGATCCATCCCCTTACGTTTTACCATCCCATGGACTCCAGGCATCCTTCTCCCACCCGGCTGGGTCATGTTGGACTCTAGAAGCTCACGGAGGCCACAGTCTCCAGGGCACTAGGCCTCTGAGGACTCCATGACCCAGTCACGTTGCAACAACTCCTGGAACAGTGGTCGGACCAGCTCCGAACCCACTCAACTGTCCTGCCATCTAGCGTTTTCCTTCTCTTCCCTGATGATGCCACAAAGCTGGAAAGTGCCACAGTGAAGGCTAGTCCCAGACCAAGTGGCTCTTTCAGGAAGAGCCTGAGGGAAGGTAGGTACTGGCATGGCTGCCAAGTTACAATGAGCAGAGCAAGGCCAATGAGCCAGGTATAGAAAGTCACCAGGGCAAAGACCTAGCAAAGGACAACTGTACGGTAGGACTTCACCCCCAGGGTGACCTTTCCTCCCCAGCATATCGTTGGTCTTGCGAATTGGACCACCTGACCTTTCCTCCATAGAGGCCTGTGATATTTCAGCTCCAGACCCAGAAAAGCAGCAAAACCAGACAAGCAGTGCCATGGCCAACATCAGGACTGCGGCACTGACTGATGACCCCAGGACATGGTGGGAGCACGCCAGCGCATTTTCCTTCTTCCCTCTCCCCTCCTCCTGGGCGCATCCCCATTACCCTCCTCACTCCCAAGCTCCAAGGGCCCTTCCTTTGCTCTAGAACTTGTTCCCTAAGCCGATTTCTTCTACGAATTACTGCTTCTACCTCTAGACTTTACAAATAAATGAGTCTCTTCTAGTTTGAGGCTTGGCTCAGAATTCTTTCCTAGCCAGAACTCAAGTACCGAGGTTGCTGAGCCAGGTCTGGTCTGATCCTCGGGGTCTAACACCTGGGGCGTTCCTGCCCTTCCTGCTGCCTACATACAACCCAGCTCCATGGGAATGCTTCTGGACCCTCACTATGAGCAAGGGCCCTCTGCAACCTCTGCTCATTCCAGGCCACCTTCCCTGCTTCTGTCCTAAAAGGTGTCCGTGTCTTGGTAGGACAGTTGTGTGACCGCTGCCCAACTGAAACAACAGAGTCAGAGGAGACCATGTGACAGTCCCATGACAGCCCGGGATGTCCAGTCTTCCATGTGTCAGGGCTGTCCCCCCAGAAGGGGTTTGAGGCTGGGAGGTGGATCATGAGCTGCACATGAGCAGTGGGAGCCACTCCCTCTACCTGATCCCCACAGGTGTGTCTCAGCTGATGAGACCAAGGCCCAAGGCCTGGTGGTCAGGACCACAGCCATGCTCTAATTCCACCTGTGCCACGCTGAACCATCTGGCATTACGATGGGTATTTCCTGGCAGCTCGGATGAGGCCCCCGATGCCAGTTTTCTACAACCTCCACGACCCCCTCTGGAATACTGCCTCCTGCACAAGCTGCTGGCCAGCTGGCAGCGGGTCTGGGAGACCTACCACGATAGCCCACCTGTACCTCACCCCCCGCCCTCCCAGAGTACCTCAGTGCCCTCAGCACCTTCCTGGGGAGGCTGGGCCTGCCCCCCGAGCCTGGCTCTGATGGGACTCTGGGCTCCCACTCACCAGCAGGACGGGGATCAACTGCTCAGTGGACAAGGAACAAAGACAGGGACAAGGGACAAAGACAGGATAGCAGAGACATTGTCATCTCTTGATTTATTCAGGTTATTTAATATACAACGTAACTGTGACGCAAAGTGTGCAAAGTTAAAGCCTTCGACTGCAGCTGCGAGGAGAGGGCAGGCTTGGTCCACCTGGGGGGGGGGGGGGTGGTGAGTCAGAAACAACGGCTGCCTCCTCCCGGGGTCAGGGGAAGAGGGAGTGGCCTGAGGAGAAGGGGGCCTAGGGCCAGCGGAAGGGGGCAGAGACCTCCCTCCGGCCTAGGTTAGGAGCCCAGAAGTACCCCACGGCTGAGAGGGCAACAGCCCAGGAAGGAGCCAGAGGCAGGGCCAGGAGAGCACCATTTCCGGGGTGGGGGTGGGGAGGAAGGTACCCTACAGGAGAAGCCAGGAGGGGCCACCTGCCCCAGGGAAGGGAGCCAGGGAGCCAGGCCGGAGCAGACTGCAGTGAGAAAACCTGAGGCAGGCGCAAGGCCTGAGAGCCCAGGCTGGTGGGCTCAGGGGGGAAAGGAGGGGCTGAAGAAGGGGGAACCTGTGGGGGGGGTGGGCTCCTAGGGCAGCCGGGCCCCAGCAGTCCTGACTCTGCAGGGGATGCCCAGCAAGGGCCCGCAGCCCCTCAGAGCCCCCCCTCCTGTCTTCCTTGAATGGAGCTGGGCCCTGTAGTGCAAATCTGTGGACCGCTCAGTCGTGGAGGGAGGCTGTGCCTAGAGGGGAGCCCTGGGGCGTGCCCTCTCTGCCACCTCGGCCTCCACCACTGCTTCCACCACCGTCCTCAGTACAGCCGCTTCTCGTAACTGTGGGGACAAGGCAAGAGGGAACTGAAAGTGGGCATGTGGACCCGGCTCCCTTCCCAGATGCCCCTGCCCAGGCGGGGGTGCCAGGCAGCCCCCAGATGAACGAGAGGCAGGGAACTGCAGGAGCTCCTGCCTCTCAGCCAAGGGGTTTGGGGAGAGCAGGCCCAGAGACAGTCGCGCTCCTCCAGGCCGCAGTCAGAGCGGAGCGGACCGTCCTCAGGGCTGGGATAGAGTCAGGAAGGCATGGCCCATCCCTACAGAGCAAGCTCTGACCAAGCTGAGCCTCTGCTGCCCACGTCTCCACCACGCCCCTGCCCATCAAGTGGCCGAGGCCCCTTGTGGTCACTGGGTCCAGCCCAAGACAGACAGCCTCGGGCCTGGGGTCAGGGACATCGCGCTGTGCTACAGATCCTGCTGGGGGAGGGGCCCCTGCTGGCTGCCCCGCCACGGTGGTAGTCCTAGGGTCCATGTCCCATGATGACACCCCAGTGCCACCCCCAATGCAGGGCCCCCCTCCCACCCGAGCCCGGGCCCCACCCAAAGGGTCCCTGCTCTACTCTACACTTGCCCGGGCAGCGCAGTTACTTACACGGCAGAAAGGTATAGCTACGGGAGGATGGGGCAGAAAGAGACACAGGTTAGATGCCCGCCTATGCCTGGGGGGACAGGCCCTCTCAACCAGGCGGGGGGCTACACGCCTGCTCCTACTGCTGCTGACTAGCACTGCCCCCACCCGGGGTCGCCCCAGCGCTGGCCCTGGCGGCTGTCTCTCTGCCCTTCTCTCGCCAGAGGACTCTTGCCCCTAGCCTACCCCTGCCTGCCGGGGGCTGCCACCAGCAAGAGCCCAACACTGCCAGCTCCTGCCACCAGCCACCAGCCACCAGCCACCAGCCACCAGCCACCAAGCTTCTACAGAAGCAAGGGATGGGAGCTAGGAGGAGCTGCCCGAGGAGAGGGGAGGGGCCTGCCTGCCTAAGGGCTCAAGGGTGGGTTGGGCCTGTAAGAGTAGGTGATGGAGACATCCTGCAGCAGTCACCATCCCTGGTGGAGATGGTCCATGGGGTCCCTGAGACCTCAGCTCAGCCTCTGAACCACGGTCCCACCTGCCCGACCCGGTGCCAGCCAGCTGGGAGGGCAGGGAGGCCACCAGACTTACGAGTGCAGGCCGTGGACACCGCCCTCGATCTGAGCGGACATGGTCCGCTTCTCAAACTTGAGCTCTCCTGAGTACATCATGGACCTGCAGGCAGGTGGTTGGAGCAGGTCAGGGCACCAAGGGAAGAGGGGTGGGGTGGGAGGGGAGGCAGGGATGGAGAGGGAGGGAGAGAAAGGAGCAGGGTGGGGGAGCCAAGAGCCTCCCAGGTGCCACCCACCTGCCCCTCCCCCCTGCCCCCAGTCCCAGCACTCACCGCAGGGCAGAGAGGCTCCGGGCACCGATATCCTGGCAGCCATGCTGGATCCCTGCTATGAGGTAGGGCACGAACTTCTGAATGGAGCCTTTGTCCTGGATGGAGCCGGATACGCCCTGCGGGATCTTCACCTTGTCCCCCTCGCTGTGTGGAGGGCAGGAGACTGAGCCAGACAGCCCATGGCTCAGGGCACCTCACCCCGTCTCTCTCAAGGGCACCAACAGAAGAACCCCCAAAAGCAGCCACCCCCTGGGCTAACACGTAAGAAAGCATGGATCCCGAGTCAGGAGGTCTGCTACTGGTGCCCTGTGACTCAGTTTCCAGAAATATAATATGGAGATCCGGTGCTATTTGGGAAGTCAAAGGCAGGTGTGGACCCTGAAAGGGCTGTGGGCTGATCTGCCTGGGACCAGGGCTCAGGGGCAGGGCACCTGAAGTATCGTTTCTGGCTGCTGCTGCTCTTCTCCATGGCATCCAAGGAGCCCATGCCCCGGTACTTCTTGAGCCTCACCCCGTCGGAGAAGAAGTACTCGCCAGGGGCCTCGTTGGTGGCGGCCAGCAGGGAGCCCATCATCACTGCGGTGGGGGGAGGGGCAGGGTCAGTGCCTCCGGCCCACAAGCCTCCTATGGCCCCAGCCCAGCTCCCAGCCCCTCCCAGGCCCGCCCAGTCCCCAGCAGACCCCCTTACCGGTGGATGCTCCCAGGGCCAGGGCCTTGACCACCTGCCCCACGGTCTGGATGCCACCGTCCGCTATGACTGGCACCCCGAAGCGCCGGGCATACTCTGCCACCTTGTACACGGCCGTGCCCTGAGGCCGACCACAGGCCATCACTGCGGGAGGGGACGCAAGACAGAGATGTCATCGGCAACCGAGGGGCCAGAGACCGGACCCTTTCTCCTTGTGCCCCATCTCCTCTCGGGAAAGGGGACAGGCCTCGGTTATGTTTCTGAGGGACAGATGGGTGGCAGCAATAACACTCGGGTGATTGTCACTCCAACGGCCCAGACCACCATCCACGACCGCACTATGGGGCATTCTGGTAGGAGAGGGGTCAATACTGGCCCTCAGAGTATGGCACCCCCTACACCGACGCACTCGGGCCTAGTGACCCCCAGCCTCACCTCCCTCCATATACAAGTTCCCCTTCGAGGCTTCATTTGCAAAGCCTGTTGCTAGGGTAATCATGATCTCCTTCGGGATAGTGCCTTGCATTTGTTTAATTATCCAAGGTCCTTCAGTGTGAGGGTCCAAATGGGAATGATCAGGAACCAGCACGTGTGTGGGGATGGATGCAAGGCCTGATAAAGCAGGGAGAGGCCTTCTCCAGGGGGTCTTCTGTTTTATCCCTCTTGCATCCCAAGTGTTAGAACAGTGCCTGACACATAGGAACGTAGTATTTGTTAAGCGACTGAATGGAAGGCCCACGTTTCACCGCAGCCGTCAGCTGAAGTGAAGGGTAGGAACTTAAAAGCAGAGGCTCTGAAGACCAGAAAGGGAGATGTTTTGAGGAGAAAAGCCCAAATTGACCACTCCGTGTTCTGGAGAAATGGATCTCACTAGAGGGGCCAGTCCATCCCTGCAGGCCAAGCAAGGACCCACCAGTCAGTCAGACACCAGCCTCCAGGGAACACCCCTCAACCACACGGGGCACATGGTCAGGGCCCACTCTCCTCCTCTTCGTGTTTGGGGTATCTACCCTGCAAAAGGTCTTTGTGGCTGAGTGGAACCCCATCCCTCACTAGCACCACACGGTGACCAATTTAAGGAATTTAAGGATGGCCGTCTCCCTGTCTTAGGTATCTGCCACGCCACGAAGCTAATCCAAACCGTGAGCCGGCTTCCCATAGGCACCAGCTAGAGAAGTAGTCACACCAGCCTTGGGCCTCTAGCTTGGGTGTCCTTGACCAGAATCTGGGAAGCACACAGGCTGGCACACACCTAAAACACCCAGTCACCTCATTTTATCCCTGCCTCTCCCCAAGTCACTGAGCCAGACAGGCAGAGTCTGAGCCTGGGTCACTCCTGAACCCACCACCCCAGGCAGGAGCCTGGCAGAGCAAGCACTCAGCATGTATACCCATGGGACAAGAGTGAGGCCCCAGGGCCTACGGAGGGCCTGTGGGGTGCTCTCAGTGGCAGTCACTCTTCTTCTGACACCCACCTTCTTGGGTGATGCAGATGGAGCCACAGCCCATGCCCACACGCAGCCCGTCCACACCAGCGTCAATCAGGTTCTTGGCCTGAGCTGCTGTCACCACTGGGGGAAGGTGGGGAGCGGCAGGGAAAGAGGAATAGCAGGAGGATGAGATTCGCCCACCCTGCCCTGGGACCCCAGGCCAGCCCCACCCCCACCTACAGTGATCAAAGCCCATTCATTCAGCCCCCAGGCTCCCATGTACATACACCATCACCTTGGGATGCCGAAGGACAGGAAATTACATGGTGAGGGGGCAAGGGCCGGGGTTGATGGGGGGCTCTACACTCACCATTCCCCCCAATCAGCTGGAGGTGGGGGTACTTCTTCTTGACATAGTGCACCATGGAAATCTGATACTCAGAGTTCCCCTGGGATGAGTCCTGAGAGGAGGGGAAGAGGGCAGCTTTGGTTAGGATGGCTGAGGGTCCTCCCTGGGAGAGGGGGCTCTTGAGTGGACAAACTCCTAAAATCGTACAAAAATGCTGTGAGAATGTGTTTTGTTTGTTTCCTGGGAAGATACTTGACAGCTCTTGGCTGATTTTCAAAGAACCTGCTTTCCTCCAAAAGCTAAAACCATTAATGCATAGTTTCAGAGCAGACAAAGCCCGTTCGCACGCACCGATGGGCTTGTCCTCGCAGCCAGGCCGACTGGGGCCTGTCCTGTTCCCACAACTCGCTCACCACATGAAGAAAGAACTTAACCTCCTCAGCCTCCCTCTCTTCCTCTGACAAGGGATGTGGTAACTGTACCTCAGGGGGCTGCTCGGAAGCCTGAGTGAGACACAGAGGTCTCAGAGCAGAACCTGACAAGTGGGAGGTTCCCGGTGAGTGTGAGCTATAACCCAGAGGCCCTCACCGTTGTCTGAGCCGTCAGAGTACCACTGACCCTTCTAATGGTGGCTCTAGGCTTAATCAGAGGCGAACCCGGATCTCCCTAAGCCTCTACTGACTGCACCCCACTGCTGCCAGGGGCTGCCTGTACCAGCACTATGACGTCGGCGCCCGCCTGGGTGAGCAGGTCCAAGCGGTATTTGTCGTCCTCGCGGGTGCCTACAGCTGCCCCGCACAGCAGCTGCTTGTGGGAATCCTTGGAGGCTAGAGGGTAGTCCCGGTTCTTCTTCAGGTCGGTGCGGGCAATGATGGCCACTAGCTCGTCGCGGTCATTGACAATGGGCAGCTTCCCTGAGGAGGAACGCAGAGGTGAGATGAAGGAGCCACCTCTGGATTCCCCTTGGGAGTGGGGTGGACCAAGCCCGAGATCCCACTGAAATACTCAAACCAGCCACTAGGTGACAGCACCACCCAGGAAGCCCTCCTAGGGACCTGGACCTCTTCCCGAGGAACAGGAAGCAAAAAAAAACACCCTGAAGACAAGTGGGTTCCGGGAGCACTTCCTGCCCTGGCCAGGCTGGGGTGAGCAGCCCCTGAGCACTGGCAGACGTTCACCTGCTGGGCCACAGGCCACAGTGGTCAAAAACTCATAGCCAGGGCACATACGTGAGGCTGTCCTGCAGGAGAAACATGTGTCATCTACAATCCCACCCCCAGAGAACAACCCAGTGTGAGCCAGGGAAGCATGTCCCAGTGTCTCTCACGGGGACCTAATGGATATTATGTCAACCATCCCAATGTCAAATAAATCTGATTCAGGACTTCTCAGAGCCTTTCATAAGCTATCGTATAATTTGTTATGCATTGATAGGGAATATAGAAAAGAGCATTTTTGCAGAAACTGGTTTGGCTCAATAGATAGAGCATCGGCCTACGGACTGAAAGGTCCCAGGTTGGATTCCGGTCAAGGGCATGTACCTTGGTTGCAGGCACATCCTAAGTGGGGGGTGTGCAGGAGGCAGCTCATCGATGTTTCTAACTCTCTATCCCTCTCCCTTCTTCTCTGTGAAAAATCAATAATATATATATATATATATATATATATATATATATATATTATTTTTTTATTTTTTTATTTTTTAAATAGCATTGTTCAGACTTAGATGACCACAGAGCCCTTTCTTCATGATGAACGTTTCTCAGGACCACTTTTTTGGGGAAACTGTGAAGATGCTGAACAAGGGGCAGGCTTTCCTGAGCCAAGAAAAGGACCTCAGGAATCACGCTCCAGCCTGGGGTCATTCAAACCTTCCCCAAGGCCCAGTCTGCTTGCTGGGACAACCTGCAGGGCTGTGAGGGAACCGGGGGAGCTGGGGTGCAGGAAGCCAGGCTGGGGAGTGGGTCCCGCGTGTTCTGCCTCCTCCCTGGTACCTTTCTTGCTGCGCTGCAGGATCTCATTTGCCTCTTTCAACGTCACACCTGCTGGAGCCACCACCAGCTCATTCCGCGGCGTCATCACCTGTGGGGCCGGGAACATTCGCCTGCAGGTTGGCAGGTGAGAGAGAAGGGAGCCAGACCTCCCTCTGGTCCCTGTCACAGACACCGTGGGGCCCTCTCTCTGCCCCCGCCACGCGGCCCCTGCCCTCCAGGTACCTCGCTGAGGAAGATGGTGTGGTCCTTCTCGGCGAGGAAGTCGATGTCTCGGGAGGTGACAATGCCTACCAGCTTGCTGCCCATGGTGCCCGTCTCCGTGATGGGGATGCCAGAGAAGCCATGCCGAATCTTGGCCTCCAGCACGTCGCCCACGGTGTGCGAGGGGTTCAGCACCACAGGGTCCGTGATGAAGCCCTGTTCAAATTTCTGTGGGTAGAAACGGGGGGAAGGAAAGGCTGGAAGAGAGCCTGAGGTGGTGTCCAGACTGGTCAAGCGGGGAGAGGGAGTCCTGAGTGGAGTGAGGAGCCATTGGGAAATGAGGGCTGGGCCTGCACCCCCCACTGTGGCGAAGGGCAGACAAGACCCCACAGCAATCAACGAGGGGATGCACCAGCCTTGGGGCTGGCAAGGAAGTGGGGGGCAGCCCGGTGGCATTTTCTTTCCGGGGGGGAGGCCTGATACTTGCCTTCACCTTCCGCACCTCATTGGCCTGGAACTCTGGCGTGCAGTTGTGGTGAATGAAACCAATTCCGCCCATCAGCTGGGGTGGCAGGGAAGCAAGGTCAGAGCCCAGGGCCCACCCTCCTCACCCTGAAAACCCCACCTCCGATTCCAATTCCCCCTAACGCCAGCGCACCACCCTATTCCGTCCCCTCCACCCTGGACTCCCAACCCAGGCGCCCAACTCACAGCCATAGCGATGGCCATGTCAGCCTCCGTCACAGTGTCCATGGGGGAGGAGATGAGCGGCGTCTTCAGCGTGATCTTCCGAGTCAGAGCTGAGGTCAGGTCCTGAGGACGAAGGCACAGCCCGCGTGAGGAGTGCTGTCATTCACTGAGCCAACACTCACCGAGCCCCTGCATGTACCCAGCACCAGGGAGGGCCTGGGGAGACAGCAGTGAACAAGGCGGGCGAGGCCCCTGCTTCCTCTCCCAGGGTTTGAACTCCACTTGGAAGTAGAGGACAAGCAGGAAACACATGCACACGTGTTTCAGTCAGGGTGAAGGTTCCAAAGAAAAGCAAGAGGAAAAGGGACCCCGGGAAGAGGGGTGTGGTGGTCAGGAAAGCCTCTTTCTTAGCAAGTAGCAGCCAATCAAAGTCTGAGGGACTATGGTTCCAGCCTCTGATTCCAAGTCTTCCTGAGATGCATTTAAGAAAGAAAACCGCAGTGGAGTAGAGGGAAGTGAGAGAGGCAGATGGTTGGCGGGGGCAAGGCAGCGTAGCCTTGAACGCCAGGGACAGCTTAGAGTCTGAGACAAAAAGCCATTGCCGGGCCGGGACCGGTTTGGCTCAGTGGATAGAGCATTGGCCTGAGGACTGAAAGGTCCCGGGTTTGATTCCAGTCAGGGGCATGTACCTTAGTTGCGAGCACATCCCCAGTGGGGTGTGTGCAAGAGGCAGCTGGTCGGTGTTTCTCTCTCATCGACGTTTCTAACTCTGTCCCTCTCAATTCCTCTCTGTGTAAAATCAATAAAATATATTAAAAAAAAAAAAAAAAAAAAAAAGCCACTGCCGGGGTCACAAACAGAAGAGAGGCATCATCTGACTTATTTTAAAGAGGTCACTCAGGCTCCAACGAGGAGAATGGATTCTAGGTGACAAGTCCTGAGGCAAGGGGACCGGCAAGGAGACTTCTGGCAGGTCCAGGCAGGGGGTGCTGGAGCCTGGGAGGGGGGAGGCATGAGAAGGCATCCTTAAGCATCCAGGAAAGTAGATGACTGCAGGGCTGCAGCTCAAGGGAGGGTCAGGGCTGCGGGTACAGATCTGGATGTACCTGCTTATGAGCGGTAGGTAGGGCCAGATCATGAGGTTGGGCCAACAGCTATGGATCCCAGTCCTCAAACACTCAGACACAGACTTCGTATATAGTTTTTGGAGATTCACAGGCCCCCGAAGTCCATCCATAGACCCCGGTTAAGAACCCTGGGCCCATAGACTAAAGAACTCCTCCTTCTCCTCTCCCATCGCACAACCAAAGAGCCACAGCCTTCCCGGCAGGGGCCACAGGACAGAGACCCGCGATGGGCGGGAGGTATCTTTTCTGTCCCCCTCTTCCTCGCATCCTCCCCAGGGTCTGGCACAAAGCCGGGATGCTTGGTAAACTTCGTTAAACTGAACAGCTGAACCATGAAGGCTTCCTTGTTGCTGTCACAAGGCAAATATTCAGAAAAGCTCCAATTTCCCCCAAAAAATCTGTCTGGGTCAGCACTGGCTACACAGGCTGGGCCAACACTTCCCCAGGGTCAAGTGATCCAGACACACATAGGACCTCTGACCTCAGTAAATAGCATTGATAGTGGCAACAAGAGGAATGTTTTTTAGTATTTATGAATTCATCTTAAAATAATCTAACTTTTAAAAAATATTTTTAATTGATATCAGAGAGGAAAGGAGAGATAGAAATATCAATGATGGGAGAGAACCATTGACAGGCTGCCTCCAGCACGCCTCACACTGGGGATGGAGCCCCAACCTGGGCATGTGGCCCTGATCAGAAATCAAACCATGGCCTCTTGGTTCATAGGTCGACGCTCAACCACTGAGCCATGCCAGTCAAGCAAATAATCTAACTTTTCCGTGAAATGACTTACTTCTATCAGCACTACACCCCTAGATTCTGTGAATTCAGCATATGTTAATTAGGTAAAGAATATTGCTCATTCACTCTTGGCTTATAGCTGAGTCCCCTCAGGCAAGCAAAGGCACTGTGTTTCCTTGTATTTGTCAAAAACCTAAATTCTTTAAACCCTCTTACCAATTCTTGTGTATCTGGATCTATGAACAAGTCCGTCCATGTCATTCAAAGTCTGCATAACTTTACTGGCTTCTATCCTGTCCCCACTCAGCATTTCAGACAAAACTCAACCCTTCCAGTTTACAGTAAAAAGACAGCCACATGCACGCCCACCCCTTCCCATGTGAACCTCCTGGCAGGCTCCATCAGTGTCAGAGAGCCCTCTGGCTCTGGGCCAGGCCCACCACTCAGGATACCGCTGAATCCCTGCAGCTGCCTCTGCCCCATTAAGCACAACCCACCGCACTGTGTCAGCGTCTCTGGCAGCAATGCAGGCTACCTCCCCACATTCCCAAGAAAAGCTCTCCTATTCCTGCCCTTGAGCAAGAAATCAGCCTCTTCCACCACATGCACAGCCTCCCTCCCCGGGGTCAGCAGAAGAGGTACTCACCACCTCATCAGCGATGAAGTCTATGAATCCTGGGAGAATCAGGAAGTCGCTATGAGGAGAGAAAAGGGAGTGTTACTGGATGAGAGGGGTTACTTAAAAGAGGTAAAGCCTGCCATGCCAGGGGACGTGGCACGGGATGAGAGGGGCAGAGGCTGGAGCCCTCTGGCCCCTGTGTCCCTTCAGGGCTGAACACTCTTATGCCCCCCGTGGAAGGTGTATAGAACTGCGGTACCAAGACAGTTGCTCAAGTGTCTGTTGCCTCCAGGGTTCAGAGTTCACCAAGAAACACAAAAGTTCCCATGATGCCACACAAGGCAGACACATGGCCTGCCCTTGAAAGTGTCTCACTCTTAACAGAGGGAGACCACAGGGCATGAACCTGAGAACAATGTATTTATTTATTTTATACAGATTTTTATTTATTTCAGAGAGGAAGGGAGAGGGAGAGATAGAGAAACATCAATGATGAGAATCATTGATCACCTGCCTCCTGTATGCCCCGCACTGGGGATCAAGCCTGCATGTGCCCTGACCAGGAATTGAACCATGACCTCCTGGTTCAACCACTGAGCCACACTGGCTGGGCCTGAGAACAATTTAGAAGTGCAGCATGATATGGACACCACACAGCACAGGACAAGCTGCACATAGTCAGGGCTGCTCAGTCCCACAGGTTTCAGAACAGCTCCAGGGGCCCCGGGGGTTTAGCACAATCAGAGCATGTTCTGACTGAAGCAACCAACAGGCATGGCCTGAGATGGGAGAGGGGAGGAAGGGGCCTTCCGGTTAGGACCAGAACCCCGAGGCCCCAGCCAAAGCATGGCAGCTGTAAAACACTAGAGTGGGCCACGGGCACAGCAACCCCAGAGGGGGTGCAGGCAAAGCACAGCACACAGCCCAGGGCCCCGAAGGCTCAGTCCCCCACACTTCAGGAACACTCCCAACTTGACTAAGAAAAGCAGCTGGCACCTGAGCACAGGAAGGAAAAGCAACAGGGTGAATGGGAGGGGTGGGGTCTTGAACCTGCCCAAGGCCAAGAGCAACTCAGAGCAATATCCCTAGGGAGTTTCCTTGGCAGACTCTAGTGAAAAATATATCAAAGGGACACTCCCCCCACCACCACCACCACCAAAGACAGCCAAAGAGCCATGGCCGGATTAGCTCAGTGGACAGTGTCGGCCTGAGGTGTGAAGGGTTCAATTCCTGTCAAGGCCACATGCCTGGGGTGCTGGCTGTATCCCCAGTAGGGGGCGTGCAGGAGGCAGCCTTTCAATGAGTTTCTCTCATCATTGATGTTTCTATCGCTCTCCCTTTCCCTTCCTCTCTGAAATGAATACCAAAAAAATATATTTTTTTTAATTAAAAAGACTGCCAAAGGAAGAGAACCTTAACTGCCTCTGAGCCATGGCAGCCCTTCTTGCTGAACAGCGAAGAGGCTCTGTGGCTCACCTTCAGGCTGAAGAAGAAATGCAAGAGTCAGGGGCCCTTGGCAGGTCCTGGGTCTATATGCCCCCTCGCCTGGCCCGCATCCCAGCTGTGAGCAGGCAGGAGACACCTGGCGTCTAGGGAAACTGCCTGCCCAGCAGAAGCGCTTACAGGCAAGGGCAGGGCCTGGCAGGAGATGGGGCAGGGGTGCTCTTGGCTGGCCAGCAATCCCCACTCCGCCTCAGCCCCAAGCTTCGGATGCTCCTTCCTGGCATGGACACAGTCCTGCAGCCAGAGGGAGAGCCAGTGCCAGGCCTGCAGCACGCAGGACAACTGGCCCGGGGCCCACAGAAAAGCAAACTAAAGCCAGCGGGGGAGAGAAAGGTCCTGATCTCCCCAAAAATCCCATGTGGGGTGGCCTTGGGGGTGGCAGTCACAGAATACTCATCCCCAGGGGGGGGGCACCAGTGCTAACCTGTGGGCCCACAGAGGCACCGTGCAAAGAGGACTGGACACGGGAAAAGGGAGGCATCCCAACTGTCCAGCTGGGCCTCTCCTGGGGGCAGCCCCCAGGCAGCTGTCTTACTGCAGGCCCTCTCCGCCTGCCCAGTGACCCTGCCAGCGAGTGAGGGAGCGGCTGTCCTGCACCAAGGTCTGGGGAAAGTCTCCCTAACTCCCACATCTCCTGTCCCCACACCCCCAGGCCCCTCCGAGCAGCCAGGATGCCCGTGAGATGAAGAGGGGCACGGCCGGACCCGGATCTACCCAGAAACGGGGCACGGCACCTTAGGGCCGCGATGTCGCGGTGCCACGTCCGTCTCCACTCGGCACTGGCCGCCTTCCTTCCCTTACTCAGCACCCCCGCCCCCTCCTCGCCCTCCTCGCCCTCCTCGCCCTCCTCCTCCTCCTCCAAGCAGCAGCCACCGCGGGGCCAGCGCACGTGCAGGGCCCGAGCCCGGGGGTCGCGGCGCGCGCGTTCGTGCCCGCATTCCGGTGGGGCCCCCCAGCGCTTACTTGTAGGTGAGGCCGTCGGCGCTGGCGAAGAGCTGCTGCGCGGTGAGCCCATCCTCGGGCACGTAGCCGGTGCCGCCGCTGATCAGGTAATCCGCCATGCTGCAGGGACACCCCGGCCCGGCATAAACACCGCGCGGCCGCCCGCCGCTCCCGCCGCCGCCGCCGAGGCCGAGCTGCCACCGCGGGCCGGGCGGCCGGGGCGGGAGCTGCAGCAGCCAAGCTGGCCTCGGGCGGGCGCCGCCCTCCCCTCCCGCCCTTCCTCTCCCCTCCCCTCCCCTCCCCGGGGAGGCCACCGCCTCCGCCGCGCCGCTCCACCGCACAAAGGGCCCCGGAGCCCGGCCCAGCGCACGCGCTCAGAAACCACCTGGGCTAGGGCAGCGGATGCGAATCGGGGGCGCCCCCTCCCCTCCAACGAGCCAAACCGGGACACGCCCCCTCCGCCGCGCCCGGTCCCGCCTCCTAGGCCCCCTGCAGCGCGTCCCCCAGGCCCGCTCGCTGCCTGGCCCACCCCAGATCACCTGGCCTCCACCGGCATGGGTCTCCTCTGGCCCTACTCCGCACCCCCAGGCCCCGAAACTCAGGCCTAAACTGGGACCAGGAGTCCTGGGTCCTGTCTGGGCCAACAGCTCCCCAAAACATAGGAGCTGGTGCCGGCGATGTGTTTGAGCTCTAGAGTTTGAGACTGTACCTTCCCTCAAATGTGTAGCCCGCCCCACCTTCCCCAATCCCCAATCCCAGCATAATCACGATCATTCCTAGAGGTCATTCTTAACAATGACACTCCGTGACCTTTGGGAGGCCTTGAAGCCCTCCACAGATTGACATGGAATTTTTCATAAGTGAGCACATTCACCCTGCAATCTATTAACTTGCCAGCTATTAGGTATCCCCACTTTACAGAAGCAAAACCTACAGTTCAGAAAGCAAAGAGGTGGGGGTACGGCCTCTGACTCCTGTCCAAAGCGTCAGTCTGACCTCCCTGTCCCCACCTCAGAAAGGGGTAAGGATACCAGAGGGAGCAGCTCCTTTTCATTTGTGAGGACAGTGTGGTGGGAAGGAGAGAGGATCACAGGCCTGGCTTAGGCAGGTAAGGTTGCATACAAATTGGGACAAAGGCTAGAGAAGTTTTGAGAATTAGCCAAAGCAGAAGTGTGGAGGTCCTATGGATCCAGATTCCTACTTAGGGGCGGAAAGATTCAGGAGCAAACTGACTCACATGGGGAGAGACCGTGCGTCCGGGGAAGACCTTCCCCTATTAGGTGACCAGAATTGCCAATGCTGCTTCCTGAGCAAAGCTAGAGAATAGATCTCCCCCTCTCCCCTACCCCAAACTGCCCGGTTCCTCCCTTCTCCTCCTGTGGTCCCCACAGCTCACTTCTTGGTGAGGTGCGAGGAAGGCTGGGCAGGGACACAGTCCCCTCCCTGTAAGGTGGCTGTCTGCAGTGCTCTCCCCATTCCTCCCCCTCTGGGAGTCTGGGTTTGTTTACCTCTCCGCAGTGCGGTGGCAGCCAGGCCCAGGGGAGTCTCCCTGAGATGCCACCCGGGACCCTCCCAGGAAAACAGAAGGTTCCAAATGTGTGCAGAGGCGAGGGGAGGCCTCCTGCAGAGCTAGGGCGGTGAGGCTGGGAGTGCTGGCGGAGTTCACAGATTTCCGCAGCGTCCTCCTTCCTCTTCCTGTGAAGGAACATCATAGACACCCCCACCCCCACCCCCCACACACACACCAGTGAGCCCCAAGGAGAGTTCCTGTTGGGGCCTCTGAAGGTCCCTCTGGCATTGGCAGGAAGAAAGCCCGCCTGCTGGGGTTCTCTGCTGAGAGATGCTCTCGGAGCACTCCTGACTTCTCAGCTCTTATAAACTCATCTGGAAGACATGTGCCTTGTGGGGAGGGGGGTTACCCTGCGGGGACCAGCACTAGGACCTGTGACTGGTCACCTGGAAGCAGAGTGGTGAGACCGGGCACAGAAAGCACCCTGGCCACTCGGAGTAATGGCAGCCTGGGTGATCGCAACGCAGGCCGAGAGAGAGCACAGGCTGTCCATGGGATCTCTCTGGGTTTCTAGGGAACCTGCTCTGAGTCACTATCCCCCTCCAGCGTGGGTCAGAAACGGCTAGGGTCCTGTTTAGGGTTCTACCAGGCTGGAGTCCAGGATAGCAGCTGGGCTCTGCCATCTCTAGTGACATGTGCCCCGATCTATGGCTCGGACCCAGGGGAGGAGGCTGCTAGCCTGAGTTGTGAGGAGTGTCCCTTTCCTGGTGACAACAGACCTCACAGCCCTACTCCCCTCCTCCTGTCGCCCCACACCCCCTCCTGCTTTGACCTGTGCCAGGGCTCCTCATTACTCTAAGCTGCTGGGCTCAGCCCTGGGTTAGGCTGTCCTTTTCCAGAGACTGTTAATCCACCTCTCCCTTCCCTCCTCCCCCCTCCCCCCTCCCTCTTCCTGAGCTCCCCTAGCTGCTTCCTCCACGGGGAGGAGACACCAGGCAACCAGTGGGCCTCCTCAGCCAAGGAAGGGCTGTTGGTCCCCTGAGGCTCCCCACCTAGCAGCTGTGAAGGCGGCAGGGTTGGAGAGCGGGCCTGAGTCCCAGTGTCCCCAGTCATTTCCTCAGGGTTGGGGGGAGGCACTGGTGTCCTAGCTGGGCACCAAGGTAGCTCTGAGGTCTTTATCTGGCCTGGGCTGTTTGAATGGGCAAGATTTCAAAACATTTTTAGGGTGAGTTGCGGGGCGTGGGGGCAATAACAACATGGGCATTGTTAAGCTGGGACAGGAGACATGGCTAGCCCAAAAACAAGCCAGGGAGCAACCACTCTGACCTCAGACCCAGGGCTTCTGCCCACAGCTTTCAGCCAGCGGCAGCAGATGGAGGTCTGGCCAGCAGGTTTTGAATCTCATTACACCACCTGCCTGGGGCTCAGGTTTAGCACAGGCTCTTTGGAGCCTGGTGTGGGTGGGGATGGCCTTAGGTGCAGAGAAGAGATGCTCCTAGGTGGGCCTGGTCTGAGCTCTGACACACTTCAATGCCTGCTTCAGTCAAGTCACAGCCTCCATCAAGCCCCAGGCGCTCCAGCCCACTCCCTCCTCACACCTGTGGCCTCTCTGTACAGACCCTGAACCCCAGTCGTTAGATTTCTAGGATAGGAGGAAGGATGGGGCTGCCCAAACCTCCAGAAGCAACCTAGGGGGAACGGGGGGGGGGGGGCAGGCTTTACCCAGCACCCCTTAAGCGGTTAGAAGTCCTTAATCAGCCAGGTCTTGGATAGAGCTGCAGGGCTAATTCCCCTCCACACACACTTTCGCCCCCACCCCCACCCCACCCCAACCAGCTTCCCAATCACCTCCCCAAGCTGCTGAGCACCAACAGATGGGGCAGATAAAGAAGTCCAAATCCTCTGGACCGGAAGGACAGTGGGACCGCATTTCAAGCCGTGAAACAATCCAGAGATTAGCTACCATCTCCTTTTCAGCCAGTCCCCTGAGGCCCAGTTCAACACTCCCCCTCCTCCTCCTTACAGACCCCAGCAGACTGAGGGCAGGAGCGGGTCCTGACTCTTAGGGAGAGATCCTGATGTGAGCTGCACGGGCAGCCTCATCAGACCTCAGTGGGCGGTGAGGAGGGAACGGTGTCCTCACCGGGCTCTGAGAAGGCCAGCCCTCCGGACACCTCCACCTGCCGATAAGAAGTCGCTAAGCGGAAATGAGCTAAGGAGGAGCTAGCAAAGCTGGATAGGTTCTCCAACAAGCCCTGTTTGAACCCCTGTTCGAAAGCCACTTGGGCCAGGTGTCCTCGGCTGTGTATTCGGAGAGGTCTAATCCAGGGCTAAGATTTTAGGGAGTTTTTGTTTGTTTGTTTTGTTTTTTTGTTTTTTAACTCCTCGGTGCAACGCAACACCGAACCCTTCTCCCAGTGCCTGCCTGCACGCCCCAACCGAATCGGGATGATCGGCGTCAGAGCCCGTTTTCAGGAAGTTAGAGGTAGAGGCGGTAAGAGGGCCAGGAGGGTAGGGTCTGCCCCTGCCCACCCCCACCCACCCCCCCGCAGCGCCGCCAGGTCCCCGGAGCCGCCGCGCCCGCCCGGATGCGCCCCGCGCGCCCTGCCCCGGGCGTCACCTCTCGGGCTCGCCGCCGGCCTGCAGCAGGCGGGCGCCGTGCCGCCCCGCCGCCGTCCCGTGTCCCGGGTGTTGTCGGCTTCCCAGCTCCGGATCAGCGGCCGCTCCGCCTCCCTGCGGCGGCCCCAGTCCGGGGGGCACCGGGGGCGGCCCCTCCATGCGGAGGCTACGGTGCGGCTCACATCAGGATCGCTCCTAAGAGGCTCCGTCCGGCGGCTCCCCGGGCCCCCGCTGGGGAGTGAGCGCGGCCAGCCGCATCCCTGGGACCAGCCGGGCCTCCGGGGCGGGGCCTGCGGGCCGAGGGCGGGGCCGCCCGGGCCGGCAGGAGGGGGTCCGGGGAAAGGTCCAGAGTCCTCCGGCTCCGCCCTGGAGCAGCGCTCCGCCCAGCCCCTGCACGCTGCCTCCCGCACCCAGCTGGTCTGTGCCATCCGGGATCCAGCGAGCGACCCTTGCCCCTGCCTTACGGACCTCCTTCCAGGTTCTCTGGTCCCTAGGGAAGCCAGGAGAGGGTGGAGCACACCGTGTCTTTAGAGGCCGGGTTTTCTTCGTGGTTTGGGCCGGTCCCTCTGCCGGTGACCGACGTTAGCGTGCTACTGAGGAGCGCCTCGGATCTCCCTCGCCAGGGCAAAATAGGCGGGAACCACCCGCCTCCCTTCGCTCTGCCCTCTTAACCTATTCAACAGACTCCCTCCGACGGAAGGAAAGCGGATTTTCCTGGGTTCTTACCTGCCCCTGCCCGAGGAAGGAAGAGATAAGGCTGCAGGCTCCTTCAGGAAAAGTCCTTGCCTGCCCTCCCTTGAGGTACCCGATGGGGGCTCAGCGCACGGGGCCTCAAACTTGTTCACCTGCTGACTGGAAAGCATACCTTTTCCTAAGGCGTCTTGGTTATCATTGTTGACTGTTGGTTGGGCACCTAGCAAAGCTGGCAAAGGAGAGGGAAGAGTCCTTGCCTCAGGCCATGTCTTTGAGGAGACAGTAGATAAAACAGTTCTTAGGGGACGGGTCCATCCTTAAGGCAGGATCACAGGGAAACTGGGGTGAAGTCAAATAGAAAATCTAGATGCCAAGCAGCTTGCAGGCATCTGGTAAACCCTATCTTCCCTAAACCAGAGACACTTAGGAGTGAATGGTTTGCACTTCTCCCCAACCAGAGGGTAAATGCTTACATCACCCTACTCAAGGAGACGGCAGAAACCCAGTGAGTGCCAATGGCCAGCCACTGGACTGATGACATTAAGGGAATACATTTCTGAATATTCCATTGAGATTCTCCCCCGACCTCCCCTTCCCCACACACACAAAAAAAAAAAGATCATCCTTAAAGGCCCAGCCTTTTAACCCCTCAAAACAAAGGTCCAGAAAGAAAAAACAAAGATCCAGCTTCTGCTCTCCCTCCCGGTACATGCCCACCTCCCTTCTCTTCTTCCCTCCACAGGCAGGAATCTCTTAAACGCTAAGCGACCCCTCTGGGCTCGCAAGCAGGACAGCAATGGACAATGGTAGTTCCTCCCCTAACAGTATTGGGCAAACCCCTTGAACTATCCCCAAGGCCCTGTTTTTTCTTTAAGTTCTTAGTGAACCCAAGCAGGCCAGGCTCATTGCCTAGCCCTTTCTTGTTTCACTGTCCCCAGTGCTAATAAAGCCCTCTCACATTCATCTGGACTCATGTTTTGAAAATTCTTCTGCATGAAGTCAAGAACCCACACACTACCAGCTAGCCCTAGGCAGACCCGTTCAGGGCCAGGTCCCCTTTCCAGTAACATACCATATACTTTTAGAAAACACAATCTGCCCTGGCCATGTGGCTCAGAGATTAGAGCATCGGCCTGAACCCTGCAGGGTTCCGGGTTTGATTCCTCATCAAGGGCATGTACCTGGGCTGCAGGCTGGATCCACGAGTTCAGCCAACGGATGTCTCTCTCACACGGACGTGTCTCTCACATTCCCTTCATGGATCCCTCCCTTCCACTCTATCAAAAAATCAATGGAAAAATATTCTCAGGAGAGGATTAACAAAAACAAAAACAAAACAAACAAACAAAAATAGTGACAAGGATCCCAGATTCAATTCCATCAAGGGAGGGAACTTCAGTCACAGGCTCCTCCCTGGTTCAGGCCCTGGTCAGGGTACATGCAAGAGGCAACCAATTGATATTGTTTCTCTCACGTTGATATTTCTGTCTTTCCCTCTCTCTTCCACTTTCTCTAAAAATCAGTGGGAAAATATTCTCGAGTGAAGATTAAAAAAAAAAAAAAATCTTACATTGGGTGCATTTCAAAGAACTAGAGTTGTCCTGGCCGGTTTTGCTCAGTGATTAGAGCTTTGGACCTCAAACTGAAGGTCGAGGGTTCAATTCCTGGTGATGCCTGGCCAAGGGTACATACTGGGTTTGATACCCAGCAGCAATCAGGGCAAGTGCCGGTGTTAAACCAATCAACGTGTCTCTCCCGTGTTGATGGGTTTGTTTGTTTGTTTTTATTCTCTCTCCCTCCCTTCCACTCGGTCTGAAAATCAATGGGAAGGGTGGGGGGGAAATAACCTCAGGTGAGGATTTAAAAACAAAGCAGCTGTGTGGCTGAGTGGTTTAACATTGATCTATGAATGAGGAGGTTATGGTTCTATTCCCTATCAGGGCACATGTCCGTTGTGGGCTTGATCCCCAGTGTGGGACATGCGGGAGGCAGCCGATCAATGATTTTCTCTCATCATTGATACTTCTCCCCCCCCCCCCAATATATTTTATTGTTTTTCTACAGAGAGGAAGGGAGAGGGATAGAGTTAGAAACATTGATCAGCTGCCTCCTGCACACCTCCTACTGGGGATGTGCCAACAACCAAGGTACATGCCCTTGACTAGAATCAAACCTGTCCGCAGGCCAATGCTCTATCCACTGAGCCAAACGGGTTAGGGCTCATCATTGATATTTTTATCTCTCTCCCTCTCCTTTCCACTCTGAAATCAATAATATATTTTATTATATTAATAATACATATATATTAAAAATATATATTATATATAATATATATTTTTATTTTTAAAGCAAGCAGAACAAAATAGATCTAGAGTATGGAACATACTGCGGAATCTCAGAGGGAAGGCAGGGGTGTGTGGGAAGAGATCAACCAAAAAACCTGAATGCATAACCCAGGGGCATAGACAATAGGGTGGTGAAGGCCTAAATCAATAAAAATATATTTAGAAGAAGAAGAAGAAGAAGAAGTCGTCAATGTCATGACATGGGGAGGGCTCTGATTGGCACCCTCCATACAGCCCAGAATCATGGGAAACACACAAAGTAGGACAGTTGTCTAAGAAAAAAGTGAGTGAGCCCTGGGAAGTAGACAGAATTTGATAAATAAATGGCACATAATGAGTGGGCCTGAGTCCTGATTGGACCTGGGGCTCACTATAAAGTGGCTCTGTCTTTTCTCTGGAGCTTGTTGACTACAAATGAGATTTGCTAGCAAACCATTCATTAAAACAATCACATTTTGATGGGATAACCTGAGGGCTTGGGCATTTCATATAAAGAGAACTTACCTCTTGTCTAGAGCAGTGGTTCTCACGGGGACATTTGGCAGTGTCTGGGGACAATTCTTATGGTCCGTGACTAAGGGGAGAGGAGTCATATTACTGGTATCTAGTGGGTAGAGTCCAATAAATATCCTACAGTGCATAGATCAGCCCTTCACATTAAAGAATTATCCAGTCCCAAATGCCAATGGTGCTGAGATTGAGAAACGTGTCTAAAGGGACTATTTGAAGAAACCATAACTAAGGCAAAACTATTTAATCTTCCTAAAGCCAGCAGGACAATGGATTGTTTCCCTTTTTGTACACAAAAGATATAGGTATCCTCACTAGGCCTATTTCATGGTCTGAGAAATAGGAGTATTGGATTAAATCTTGTGGAAAGTCCTTTCCAGCTTGAAACAAAGTATGTGAATCAATACATGCATAGGATTAGGATGCAATAAAGATAGGGGCTATAAAATTGAGGGGTAGCACTGGCTAGATAGCTCAAGTGTTTAGAACTTTATTTCTATATGCCAATGTTGTGGATTTGATCTCTGGTCAGGGCACATACAATAAGCAACCAATGAATGCATAAACAAGTGAAACAACAAATTAATGTTTCTCTCTCTCCCTAAAAAAATAAAATAAAATAAAAATAAAACATTTCTTAAAAATAAAACTGAAGGGTGGAAGTTTAGACTTCCGGAAGTCAGGTGCAAAAATGTCTGGAAAACACCTGGCCATGAACCAGGAGGTCATGGTTCAATTCCCGGTCCAGGACACATGCCCAGGATGCAGGCTCAATCCCTAATGGGGGGCATGCAGGAGGCAGCCGATAAGTAATTCTCTCTCATCATTGATGTTTCTGTTCCTCTCCTTTCCTTTCTGAAATCAATAAAAAATATTTCATTTTCATGGCTAGATTCTTTTGTATGCCCTAATGTGCCTGGCACACTCTTAATGTCATGTGCTCCATTAGTATCATCAATACATGCTTTTCAAACGTTACAAAAATACCAGTCGAAGTTATTATTATAGCTAACTTTAGGCCTATGGTACACTTTTATGAGGTAGAGCTATTCATATTTACTCCTAAATGGTCAGTCTGCTCTCTTTCCACAAATCAAATCTTAGAAACGATTGTTAGCAAGAAACTTTGCTATATCTACTGCAGAGATTTTGTTACAATAAATCGAACCCACCACAACAAAAAAATGTCCAAGCTAACCTCCTCCACATATTTCAAGTGATACTTATTCAGATCAAAATATAAATTACAAAATAATCTGAACCATCATAGGTTGATAGTGGTTATCCTGTGTATTTTTGGAGTCAGCAGCTTTCCTGGCATCTACCCACTTGATGTCAGCAGTACCCCCCAGTTATAATGACCAAAAATGCCTTCAGATGTTTTTACAAAATCTTCCTAGTTGAGAACCAGTACCTTCTTTACTATTTAGCTTCTTTATTTATTTTAAAAAATATATATTTTTTTTATTTTTTTTATAGAGAGGAAGGGAGAGAGATAGAGAGCTAGAAACATCGATGAGAGAGAAACATCAACCAGCTGCCTCTTGCACACCCCCGATCGGGGATGCGCCCCCAACCAACGTACACGCCCTTGACCGGAATCGAACCTAG